TCAGCTGGAAGAGAAAACACCCTGGCATCAGTGGGACCAAAACTTTTCTCCTAATCACATTCATCTGCCTGTACCTATCCACATAGCAAATTAGTGTACCAAGTTTGGGATACCTTGTACAGCAACCTAGACAAGCATGGTCACATTAGTACCAATCAAAATTAATGAGGTTGCATAAAGCTGAAAGGGCTGTAAATGTCAGCCCAAACAGATTTGTGTTGTGCAGTATTGTATCAGTAAGTGAAATTATAAATCTCCTTCCTGCCACTTACCTCCACATTTCTAGGACACCTAGTCTACCACTGTCTGAACTGCTATCTCACTGATAACAACTTTCTCGACCCCTTACAGTCTAGCTTTCACCCGCAACACTCCACAGAACACTCCACTCTCTCAGTAGGGATCCCCCAAGGCTTTGTCCTCAGACCAATTATATTCTCTATCAACGCTTCCTTACAGGGTCAGTTGATTGCCTCCTATGTCTTCCAATACCATCTCTGTGCTGATAACACCCAAATCTATCTCTACTTTTCAGCTCACCCCTTCAGTCTCCTCGCGCATTACTAATTTACTAACTGACATATCAGTATGAATGTCATACTACCCTCTAAAACTCAGTCTTTCCAAAACTGAACTCAAAATAGTGCAGCTCCTGTATTTTTACCTTGACAGGTTCCCTTTAACAATGTTCAGGCAGCTCTAAAGCCAGCATTACATCATAGGTTTACACATTTAATTGAACAAACAGTTTTCTCATGAAGCCACACCTTGTACCTGCATTATATACTTATTACAAAGGCTATTGTTTTCCAAGTCCTCAGATCAAGTCAAGCCTAGTAATATATTTATTTGACATTTTATGAGAATCAAAACACTTAATCCATATCTGTCACTTGATGTGTTAGAGTAGGCGTTTTGTTATTGCTCTTATAAGACCCGTGTGGCAATTATTAGTGCAGTTTTGGACTAATCACAGAACAGGGATTTCACTAATGTTTTGTGATTCAAGCCATTTAACCTATATAGCGGCACTATTCTCTCGCTGGTGATTTCTGCCAGTCCCATGGTTACCTTTTATTTAATTCTCAGTTCTGAACAATCAGAGGCTACTGAATAATGGATTTGCTCTCATTAGAAGCCAACTGTGGTATTTAGATAAAGCTTTACATATAGTACAACACTGATAAAAGGTTAAAGATAACATGATTTCTGAGAAATAATTTACATCGTTTTCATGTTTTTTCCCTGGAAGGTTATAAGTGAAATTTGTCTTGTATTCATTTTTATTCTATACAAACATTTTTGCTGTTCTTAGTTTACATTTGATCTGGAAAACACATTTTTTTACAACTGCTTTCTGTATATTTATCTATTTTTCAGTATATTTGGTATTTTCCTTCACTGTATACAGTTTTTTTAAGCAAATATTTTCTTGTAAATCTGTTTGTTTTTTTACCCGGAGATCCTGCCAGTAATAGCAGTTACCATTGCAGATTGACAATGCTAGGCCACTGCCACTGCCACTTAGAAGCAGCATTCTCAGCCTTCCCACTTGGGCGCCTTCCGTGGCTGTTGGTCTGCATGCTAGATATGCGCATGCCTCCTGCAGACCTGATAGGCAGCCCAACAACCAACTGCATTTGTGCGCAGCAAAATAAATCAAAAGGGATTTTGTATTCTGAAATTTATGTGAATTTATGCTATGTCCCCAGTTAGTATGTAAATAGTGTTTAGCTGAAACATTCCTTAAAGCAGACCTTTACCCCTCTTTAAAATAACAACAAACACACCTTTAGAAATGTTTAGTAATGACAATACACAAGCATATACTTCTAGGTAATAGCCAGCTTTTTATACTTTGCATACCTTATTTCTCTTTTCTTTCCCAGTCTTCCCCCTGTGGCCATTTTTACAAAGGGCAGATTACTAAATCTCCCTTTACTTCCTGGAACTCTGGCACATGTGACTAGGACATCTGACCATGAACATCATCTCAGGGTAGGAAAATGCCTTTCCCTGAGATCTTGTGAGATTACAGATGAGATTTTCCAGCAATGCTCTGCTGATGTAACCTTCCTAGGATGCAACGCTTTGGCACATTACATAATTTGTGCCAGAAGTGGACCAGGAAGTAGATGAACTCTATTTATAAGTAAATGAAAAACATGTTTATTTAACTAATGAATGTAAGATGAGTTCATATCAGCATGCAGAGCTGCATGCTGATGTGATTTTTACTGAAAAGGGGTAAAGAGGCCTAACAGCTTCATTGAAAAATACGGAAGCCCAATGTAATGCCACCTGGGGGCCGTGGTTGTGCTACAGAACCTCTGCACAGTGCCATCTCCTGCTCTCTCAGGACGATACAACAGGGATTCCTTCCCCCGGACATCCTTGACAGTCTTCAAAAGGTATACCTGACCTTGTCTCGCTCTATAGGTATTAGCCTCCCAGGGAAATCTGGACCCCTAATGGGTGCGTCGGACCCGGCTGGGACCCACCCCCTCTTTTCTTTTTCTGGTTCTTTCTTTCTACTGCTTTTTCTTTGAGCATGAGACACAGCTACTCTCAGGAATAGTAAATAGTCATGGAGTTTCATTGTACAGAGATATAGTATAGCGTAGGTTTGTGGACGAACCAAAATATACTGAGCTAGTTTACGACTGTACTGATATGACTTTATAAGTCTGGTTATATATGTGTTATACAAGGTAGGCCATTTTATTATGGAGTCTGTGGACTTTGTACATTTACCTAAAAAAAAAAGAAAAGGGGTAAAGGTCCACTTTAAAGTGTCAGTCCACATACAGGAAATTGTTTGGTTCTTGATGATCCTGGTAGGCTGAATCCTTGACTTCTTATATCGTTCAAGGATTATGAAACTGAATATAAATACTGGAGTTCCTCTCTTCCTAATGACCATAGAGACTTACTCCCCGACTGCATTATGTGTAACCTAAAAACGTAGAGTAAGTCTCCACTCTCCCCTAAAACTGATATGAGCACCTCAGTTTCATCTCACCAGATGGAACATCTATGGGAATGGGGCCTTAGTGCTCTGTTTCAGTAGTATTGTGGGATTCAGCCAGCACTCAGTAATGCGCAACAACACTATTTTTAATACAGTGAATGAGGACCTTAATGGAAGGATCGTCAAGTATGATTTGAATGAAAGTTGCAGTTTTAAAAAGATTGGTAAATCTTATATGATATTTTAGTTAGTGACTTTTTACATAGTTTAAATTTATGGATCTCCAATTATAATTGAATTTGAATGAGCCATATGGTGTCCCAGACCTCATAGACCTTGATTAAAATGTATCCATAGCCAAACATTTTTATTTAGGTTTGCATAGAAGAGAAGGATTAGAACCCTTTTCAGGTTTTTATTGAAGTCTGTGTCCCTCTCTATTTCTTCCCTAGTGACCATTGTTGCCTAAACAGGAAGTGATGAGAAATAAAAAAAATTGTACAATTTTCAACAGAACAAGAGGTGTGGTCAAATCTTCCAATGGGTATGCATATTCTGGTGACAACGGTCTAAAATAGGAAATCCCCTCACTTCTTTGTAGACATTTCCCCATACTTTCTACTGCAACTCAGGGACAGGAAGTAAACAGAAATCTCCCCAACAGGACACAGATAGCAAAAAATAAATTGACAGGTGTTTTATCCTTCCCAACTTATATATCCAAAACTACATAATTTGGTTATACATACAATTTAAGAAGATGGGTCCTCTGTCAAACAATCATTATGAGATGCTAGCTGTGTAATGGCTTATATGGCAACTACAACAAAAAGGGCAGAATTGTTTTCTCTGTGACAACCCTATCTTTCTTTCATTTGCAGTATAATATATAACCTTTGATGCTAAAACTAAAAATATGAAGCATAAAAAAAATGGTGAGAGCAACAAAATATATAAAAGAGAAGTTAGTGGATTTAAAGTGTCACTAAACTCAGAGGTTAAACCTTAAAAATGCATTCAAGTACCTTAAAGGAGAACTATGGGGTCAGTGTTTTTCCCCATAGTTCTCCTTAGGGTAACGGGAGGACACAAACTAGCGTCCTCCCGTTACCCTAAGCTCAGTATACCGCGAGCTACAGCTCGCAGTATACTGAGACGCCGCAGCCGGAGCGGATCACGACTGAGATTACGGGATCCGCCCAGCTGCGTGAGTGGCAGCTGGCTCTGCCTATCTAGAGGCAGAGCCAGCTGTACCCGCCCCCTCCCCCGTCCGTTCCGCCAGTCAGCACTGGCAGATCGGAGCGGGGAGAGGTGAATCCAGCCCTTCCCCTGTCATGGCAGAGAGCCGTGACAGGATCGAGAGGCGAGTGAACCCGGTATGTGTTCGCTCACCTCCCGATCTACTGAGCTGACCTGTGACAGTCTCATTGTCACAGGTCGGCTAGAACTATGAGGTGAGTGAAAAGCACTAACCTCATAGTTCTCTTTTAACTATTAACAATGCTGTACCTTATTTGTGCATCACTCGTGTTGTGTAATCACTTCATGTTGACACTGTCTTTCCTTCTGGAGGGTGGCTACTTTTGTTCCCCATGGTCCCTGTGTGTGTTGTAAAGTAGCCACCACTCCAAGTTAGTAAACTAAACATGAGATTGTAGTCCGTCACGGGAGTGAGCTTGAAGTGGTGGCTACTTGATAACACACACATGAACGATGAACGAACAAAAGTAGCCACCCTCCAGAAGGAAGGACAGTGTCAGCACCAATTCAGAGATGATTTGAGGATCTACAGCTGAGTGATACACAAATAAGATTAACATTTTTGTTAATAGTTACAGTGCTTGAATGCATTTTTAGGATTAAACTCCTGAGTTTAGTGTCACTTTAAATTGCTTTAGTTTAATTTCAGTAAAGAAATCATAATTCGGAGAATGGCATCTTCTAAATGCAGATGCACACTCATACTAATGTGTTCAGACACATCCCTGCTTAGCAGAAAAAAAGACATTGAGAGGAAAGAGGAAGGAGGGACCATCAAGAGAAGGCCGTCTAAAATTGGACACCCTGAGTAACAAGTCCAGTACCTTCTGGGAGTCATCAGCTGTTACAAAAGCAGATTCTTGGAGGGTGTTTCATAGGCTCCAAATACCCAGCTGACAGGCCACAAGCTGCAAGCATTAGAGGAAGATATAAATAGGAGCCATTCACTGCAGCACAGAAGTTTACAGAACTTTCTCGGCTGATGGCTGTAATGTTTATTTTAGCCAGCGCAAGGCACTTGCAGTCTGAAGCCGGAAGATCAAGAAGCTGTACTCACTCCCTATGACTCTGCTTAATTCCCTGAAGAAATCAGGTTACTTTTAATTTATCTTGGCTCTAAGCTTCTATCCTTTCCTATTCATCCTTTGGAAATATACGGTCTCAGCTGCAAACATTATCTGACCATCAGCAATATCATTTGGAATTAACAGAGCCTCGTCTCCTACAACTTTGTATTGATATGGCTGACAGTCAGTTACCTTTCACTTGTCATTATCCTGCAAACAGAAATAGAGGAGTCCGCGATCCTTTCCGTGAACAAGGTCTGTCCTCCCGTCTCCTGGATGATGATTTTGGATTTCCAGAAGATTTAACTATGGACTGGCCTGACTGGGTAAGGCCCAGGCTCACTGCCACCTGGTCTGGTCCTTTAAGATCAGGCCTAGCAAGGACTGCTGGTATGTCTCCTCCCGGATATAGTGCCCGCTACACAGGATACCCTGAACCCCGCAATGCTGTGCCTGCCCCCAGCCAGCCCTGGAAGGTGTGTGTTAATGTACAAAGTTTCCAGCCAGAAGAGCTGACAGTGAAAACCAGAGATGGATTTGTAGAGGTGTCAGGTGAGTGACGGATGAAGGAATATAAATACTGCTTGTTGCAGTTTGGCAGTCTTTTCTAGTTAATTTACCTCAACAAAACACGTTAGGCTAACCTAAGATGCTAGAAATAATACACCATGTATAATTTCATTGTTAAAAACATGCATTTGAAGCAGGAAAACACAGAGTTAAAGTGACAGTAAACTCAGAAGTTAAATCTTAAAAATGCACCCTAACTATTAACAAAAATGTAGTTGATTTGTATATCACTCGGCTGTAGATCATCTCTAAATTCATGCTGACACTGTCCTTCCTTCTGGAGGGTGGCTACTTTTGTTCCCCATGGTCCCTGTGTGTGTTGTAAAGTAGCCACTCCCGTGATGGACTACAATCTCAATACGAAGTAAAGTAAATGTCAGATTGTAGTCCATCACGGGAGTGAGCTTGGAGCAGTGGCTACTTTACAACACACACAGGGACCATGAGGAACAAAAGTAGCCACCCTCCAGAAAGAAGGACCCATTCAGAGATGATTTGAGGATCCACCCAGATAGGGTACAGGATTGTTAATACTTAAGGTATTTTTGAATGTATTTTCAAGATTTAATATCAATCTTTTGAGACAGCATAGATCTTGTAAGCAGTCAAGGAAGCATAAAACCTTTACTATACATGTCATACATGTGGTAACGTGTATCATTATAGGGCAGGTTAATAATCCAGCCCCGTTTGCTATTGCTCTCACCCATGAAAAGTGGCAATGGCAATGTCTGCCTGTACTCTTGCCCCTTCCCCCACTGACATATTTTTGCTAGGTCAGCAGAGCTAACCTGCAAGTTTATGGTGTACTTGGCGTACACAAATGATTTGCAGTCCTAAGCATGATCAGGTCGTTCTTGCACATCTAACCTCCAAAAGCTACGGAGAGAATTAGGGCTAGAATTAGGACTAATAAGGGCATTTAAGATTAGCTGTGATGCATTTACCACGTTTCATACGTTGTATTCATATTGAGCAACACAAGCAAAGTACAAGTTGACTTTAAATTGACCTTAACTTATCTCAAAAGCCCTTGTACCCTAGCTCTTCATTATGTACAGTGCTGGTCCCACCTGACACCTTGACAGGTGTGCTGAACTTGTGAATAATGAGGACGATAACCATGGCCAAGTGAGGACAGCACACATGACCATATTGAATATCACAACCTGAATATATAAGCGGATACATGCCAGCCTCGAAAACAGGGCATAGCCTTACAAAGTAGGTTAGGTTTTAAATAACCTTGTTATCCTGGAAACTAGGACTCTTAGTTGAGTCTTTAGCCAAAGGTATCCCTGTAAATCTCTATTTGATTTTATCAATGGCTTTAAGTACTCGATACAATTTTAGACTCATTGTGTGATAACCTCACAGTGTATGAGGTGCTAAAGACTGTAACAGTAAACCTAATGGCCTTTCACAGAAATGAGCTAGGAGTGGTCCACATACAAAGTTGCCTGACTGATACTGAACAGAGATTGTGGATATTGGGTGAAAAAGGGTCCTCTGTTTAACTGATTATTCTCAATCAGGTGTAGTGCTGCATGGCCTGTTTAATGTGATGCAGCACTTTTTGCAAAATACAAATGAAACATACATACATTTGCATTCATAGTAAGTACCCACCACCATGAATTCTTCCTGAAACTAACATTTATTTACTATATCACCCTGGTCAGAGTTCTCAGTAAAGTGTAATTTACTGCTGTAAATGATCAAATACTGAATCTTTCTGTTTTGCTTAGGTACATTTTAATGTTTAAAAGGTCAGTCCACAAAAAAATCCAGGAGATTTGTGTGTTCCTGGCCACCTTTTGTGTGTTCTAGTTCCTCCTATTACATTTCTAATAATATAATATAGAACTATTCAACAGGTACAGTAGAAACCCCTAATAATGGCTGCTGCAGGTAAGCTACAGTCACACACTATTATTATACATGTATATAGCTCTGACATATACCGTGCAGGCGATCGCATTGCGGCCGGAGGGCGTGCCTACGGTGCCATTCACTTCAATGGCCCAGGCAGGCCCCCTCCAGCCCGGCAAATAAGTGAGCCGGCCGCAATGCGGGCAGTGCGTTGTGGCCAGAATCGGACCGGAACGCACTGCTTATGGTGTGAACTAATCCTTAGTGACGCGCTGGAATCCGGGGTTAGTGACCTGCTGGACTCTGGGCTTAGTTACGCGCTGGATGCAGGGCTTAGTGACCTGCTGGACTCTGGGATTAATGACGCAATGGACTCTGGGATTAGTGACCCGCTGGATGCAGGGCTGAATGACCCGCTGGACACAGGGCTGAGTGACCCGCTGGACACCGGCTGGACTTAGTGACGACGCGCTGGACGCAGGGCTTAGTGACGATGCGCTGGACGCAGGGCTTAGTGATGACGTGCTGGACACAGGGCTTAGTAACGACGCGCTGGACACAGGACCCACCTGAGAGTGACCCTGCAGAGCCCACCATAGATGCTGCACAGCCCATCTGAGACTGTCTATGGTGGACTCTGAAGGGGTCTCAGGTGGGCTGGTCAAGGCTGCATTCCCTGCCTCCCAGCTCCACTTACATGCACACCATGCATCCTCTCCCCCCGGACTGACCGGAAGTGACGTGACATCACTTCCGCCGGTCCGCCTTCTGACGGGCAGCATCGCTGATGGGGCCCCAGCTTGTCTCGAAGCCGCTGGAGGGGCAATGCTGGGGCCCTGCTGCTGCGGGGGCCCGGCTGCCTCCTCGCCCTTCACCGTCAGCCAATACTCATGTAAGGGTCCCGGGCGGGCCCCCGGGGGCTGTCCGGGCCCCTTACTGGAGTATCGGCCGTACCCCCCCTAATGGCTGCCCTGCTCCAGCAGATATAAACAAAAATGACCAGTCTCTATCAAGAACTAAACTATCAGTTTTAGATGGTCTGACCTTTTAAGTTTAAAAGAGACAATCTTTTATCATTTCTGGTCTGATTTAAAAACATTGCTGGCCTGCTTGTATAAACTTAAGAATATCTACATTCAATTAAACATGAAAATAGTTCAATGTTTACAAAGGGAGTGTTTCATTACAAGGTCAACTATTCAGTTTTAATTGTACTTTATTTCCTCTTGTACATACAGGTGTGTAACTTTATTGCTAGGATAACTTTACTGCTAGAAGGTAGAAGTTTAGCTATCAGCCAAGCTGAAAAGTTAAAGTGACACTAAACTCAGGAGTTAAATCTTAAAAATGCATTCAAGTACCTTAACTATTCATAAAAAATGTAACTCATTTGTTTATCGGCTCCTACCATCAATACTTAAAGGGTCTCGGCTGTAGATCCTCAAATCCTCTCTGAATTTATGCTGAAACTGTCCTTCTTTTCGGGCTACTTTTGTTCCCTATGGTTCTTGTGCCTTTTGTAAAGTAACCACCGCTCCAAGCTCACTCCCGTGATGGACTACAATCTCAATACAAATTAGTAAATGAAACATGAGATTTTAGTCCATCATGGGAATGAGCTTGAAGCAGTGGCTACTGTACAACACACATGGACCATGGGGAACATAAGTAGCCACCCTCCAGAAGGAAGAACAGTGTCAGCACCAATTCAGAGATGATTTGAGGTTGAGATTTTTTGCATTTTTAAGATTTAACTAATCAGTTTAGTGTCACTTTAAAGTAGAACTACTGGGACAGTAAAATATACTCCTCGCAATAGTTTGAGCCGGCGTGTGACACAGCAGCTGTCAGTCATACACCAGCACTATAGCTCAAGAACTGAGCGATCATGAACCGCTGATTGCTTCTCCCTGCAGAGAGCGGTGCTTGTCAGTCACAACTCTCCACAGGGATTTCCCCCTCCCCTCTCTTTGTTCCTCCAGTGCTTATTGGTGTTACAGACATGGGAGGGGGCGGGCACAGCTGTCTCTGGTTCTTGAGAGGTGTCAATCAGGCAGCAAGGTGAATCTCAAAAATATTGACGGGATCTTTCCCAGCTGTGGTGTGGCTCTTTGCTGTTAGTACATAGCAGGCAATAGTCTGATATATGCTGACTTGCGGTCACAGAAGTACATTAGTAAATGACCCAAAAGAGAACTATAAGCAAAAAAAAGGTTTGGCTATAGTTCTCTTTTAACAAGTTGTGAAACTAAATCTCACAGGTGATTGCTGGGCATTTTGAAGCCCACCTGAAATGGAAGTCATTCACTAGTGTGCTCCCCACATGATTGTAATGTGTTTGGTGTGAGCAACTGTGCAAAAAAACACTTGTTCCTGCAGTCTTGAGGTGAAACTTTTCATTTACTTCTGACTGATCCGCCCAGCTGCGTGACCGACAGCTGGCTCTGCCTATCTAGAGGCAGAGCCAGTTGTACCAGTCCCTCCCCCGTCCATTCCGCCAGTCAGCGCTGGCGGATCGGAGCGGGGAGGGGGGAATCTAGCCCCTCCCCGGTCGCGGCAGAGAGCCGTGACAGGATTGAGAGGTGAGCGAACCTCCCGATCTACTGAGCCGACCTGTGACAGTCTCATTGTCACAGGTCGGCTAGAACTATGAGGTGAGTGAAAAGCACTCGCCTCATAGTTCTCCTTTAATCTCCGGGCCCTCTCTTGGCCCTACTGCAATTGGAAGCTGCAATTTCAGATATCATCCACTGGTGAAAGCAGAGCTGGATCATCCACAAGGTATCCTAGGCAGATGCCTATGGCCCGGTGGATGTCCAGGGGCCCAGCTACAACTTTAAATGCTGCTGAACGTAAACCAGGGAGAAGGCACAAAAGTCAAAGCTGCACACTCGTCTGTCACTTCATAAGATAGGTCTGGTTGTGCTGTTTGGCAGGTTCTCAAGAGTGTCTGCAAAACCCGTGGCAAATAAAAAAAAATCACATTTCAATTTGCACTGTCTACTTAAATTCAGCTTTGCACTTTGTCACTCTGGGCTACAGACTTTATGGCCTTTAAAGAAATGATAGCTTTCGCTCTGTGGAAAAGTAAATAGAAAGCCACCAGTACT